TATGGTACAATGCCCAGGCCCTAAGATTAAGTAGTCCTAGTACTGGCACAAACCAAAGCAGTACATGCCTGAGGCTGAACAAGGAAGATATTACTTCTTTGAGGACAGCCTAGGCTATAAAGTCCTTGTCTAAAAACAATAATTAAGGGGGCTGGAAAGGTGGCTCAGTGGTAGAGTGCTTGCCTTGCACGCATGAGGCTCTGGGTTCAATTCTTCAGCAACACATAAGCAGAAAAAGCCGGAAGTGGTGCAGTGGCTTAAGTGGTACAGTGCTAGCCTTGAGCTGAAGAGTTGAGGGACAGTGCCCAAGCCGAGTTCAGGCCTCACAAACAATGTAAACCAGCACTGGTGGCTCATGCCTATAATCCTAGCTACTCAGGAGTCTGAGATCTGAGGATTAGAGTTCAAAGTCAGCCCAGGGAAGAAAGTCCATGAGATTCTTACCTATAATTAATCACCAGAAAATCTAGAACTGAAGCTGTGGCTCAAGTGGTAGAGTGCTAGTCTTGAACAAAAAAGCTCAGGGATGTACCCAGGTCCTGAGTTTAAGCCCAAGATGGTTTTGAACTGCAATCTTCAGATCTCAGCCTTATGAGTAGCTAGAATTACACACATGAGCCACTGGCATCTGCCATAAACTTTTTTGTTCTTGTTTTTGTCAGTTGTGGGGCTTGGATTCAGGGCCTGGGTGTTGTCCTTGAGCTTTTTAGCTCAAGATTGGTGCTCTACCATAAGACTCTCCCATGGATTTTCCTGCCCAGGTTGGCTTTAAACTACAACCTTCAGATTTCAGTCTCCTGAGTTGCTAGGGTTACAAGCATGAGCCATCCCTACCTGGCTAAACTGGGATTTTTAGTAATGGAGACTGGCTGTATACTGGAGGATATAGACTCCTTTGTAGTCGGCAGTTTTTGTACAATTTGTAAAAATATCATTTTCTTATTAAAGTGGGCACTATGATTACCATTTCATAAGTCAGGTAATGAGTACATTGCTTTTTTTGGACAATGTCACCCTTGACTTCATTTTCCCTCAGTTTACATTCAACACTTTCATAAATGTATCGTATAGCAAGCACACAGTTCTCACTTGCTTTCTGTAGGTACACAGCAAATTTATTAGACGGAGGAGAACGAAGGGACGTGTCATATGGACCTGTAGGAAGCTCGGGGTTTAAAGTGCTTTTTGGGGATTAAAAAAAATGTGTAAAGCTACTTAGATCACAGGAGGAAGCTTGAGGAGGGAAAAGTTCCCAGCATCCAATGGGAAATGACCAGAGCAACCCCATTCTTCTATACAATGGATGTGCAGATGTTCTCTCCTATTGGAATTTTTTGAGGACAGTGATATGACAAGAATGTGGGCACTCTGCCTGAAAAATGAGGTCAAGCTGGATGAGAAGCAAGTGGACAAGTGAGTACTTGAGTTGAAGTAAATACAGCCCTTAGCATTCTTTGGGCAGGAATCTGATGCCACTACAGTGCTACATCTACCAGCTGGCGATCATGATCTCTGAGGCAACACTATCAGTGGGTATCAAAAACCTAGCTGCCTAATGCTCTTCTTTCTTGGTGTACCTTTGAGAATCCATCAGGAATATCAGCATCAAAAAACAAATGCAAGAGTGGTCACCACATCTAGAGGAAGATTATTAAAATACTGGAGTGGTAAAAATTGAAAATGATAGACTCTAATGCAGGTATGATAGCCCACTCCTACAATTCCAGCATTCAGAAGGGTAAGGCAGAAAGATTGGAAGTTTGAGGACAGCTTGGGGGTAAGTCTGACTCAAAACAAAACCAGCAGCAACAGCTGGGCCCTGGTGGCTCAAGCCTGTAATCCTAACTACTCAGGAGGATGAGATCTGAGGATCGAAGTTCAAAGTTAGCCTGGGCAGGAAAGTCCATGAGACTCTTATCTCCAATAAACCAGCAGAAAACTGGAAGTAGAGCTGTGGCTCAAAGAGGTAGGGCACTAACTAGCCTTGAGCAAAAAGAAAAGAGCTCAGTTAGTTATAGCACCTAGGCCAGAGTTCAAGCCCCATGATGGGAAAACAACCACCCCCCCAGAAATATATGGGGGTCTTATGTTGCCCAGACATCAACCCATACTCCTAGCTCAAGCAACCCTGTCTTCTCAGCCTCCCAAAATAGCTGGTACTATCCATGCATATCACCCTACTTGTTCTTTATTTAGCTTTTTCAAGACAAAAACCTCATTATATAGTGAAGGCTGGACTGGAATTTGCTCTATAGCCCAAATTGGTTTTAATCTCATACTGCCTTCTAAATACTGAGATTACAGCCATGTACCACTATGCTTGACATTACCTTTTTATTTTTATTTATATTTTGTGCTGGTTCTGGGGCTTGGAACTCAGGGCCTGGGCACTGTCACTGAGCATTTTGCTCAAGCTTAGCACTCTAGTACTTTGAGCCACAGCGCTACTTCAGGTTTTCTGGTGGTTAACTGGAGTCTCACAGACTTTCCTGCCTGAGCTAGCTTTGAACCTTGATCCTCAGATCTCAGCTTCCTGATTATCTAATATTGTAGGTGTGAGCCACCAGCACCTGGCAGGATTCCAGTTTAATGGTTTTGTACAAGGTGAGTTCTGTGACTCTGGTGGGCACCGTACACCTGCTGGTACCATATTTTTCAGCTATTAATAGGTCAGTTTTCCAGTAGAGTACTAGAATCAGAAAGGAAAAGGAAGGGATGCCTTTTGGAAATCTGCACAAACCTTTATCTACCAACTCATCCACTCAAGACCCCTCTTGTCCTGAAGTCAGATTGCCACTCTGCCCCTGCTATGACATGTGGAAAATGATGACCTGAGGATGCACTCATTGCAGGCCCTGCTGAGCTCCCTCATAGGGCTTTGGAGCACCAAGACACCCCAGCGAGTAAACTCTGCCTTGAGGAATGACTACACACTCCATTTGAAAGCTGTAGGTAGGTCTGGCGCTGGTGGCTCACGCCTGTAATCCTAGCTACTCAGGAGGCTGAGATATGAGGATCAGGGTTCAAAACCAGCTTGGGCAGGAAAGTCCATGAAACTTTTATCTCCAATAAACCACCAGAAAATGGGAAGTGGCCCTGTAGCTCAAGTGGCAGAGTGCTCGCCTTGAGCTAAAGAGCTGAGGGACAGCGCCCAGACCCAGAGATCAAGCCCCACGAATGACCAAGAAAAAAAAAAAAGAAAAAAGAAAGCTGTAGGTGGGAATAATGAGGCTCAGAGAGGGTAAATGGCCCACCCAGACCACACAGATGGAAAAGCAAATGGAACTAGGTCTCCTGACAAGTCCCTTGTCTACTCCATTGTATTTATAGCAGCAGACTTTAATCCCTTTCACTTCCTTGTTGCAGGGGTGAGGGTACTGGGAATCAAACTCAGGATCACCATGCTAGGCAAGGGATCTATATCACCAAGTTAAACCCCAGTCTCTTACATCTGTTGTTAGACAAAAGTCAATTATTGGTAATCACAAAAAGGAATGACAGAAGTGAAGGCTAAATCCAAAAAGGAAGATTTGTCTATTATCATAGCCCTAACAACTAATATAGATGAGGGTACAAGAAACTGATTGTAATGAATCAACTACACATCCGCGAGCTTTATTTTTTTTTCAATGAAGCTTTATTACTTTATTTTTGACATGATACTCAACAATTCACAGAATGGATTGTTTCAGGCCACTCATACCAGTGAACCCCCATTTCCCCACCGCCCGCCGCCAGCTTCAAAGCATTTAGTATACAGGAACAGAGCTCGGACCATTGCCTCTGCAGTATAAAGGAGAATCAGTCTTCCCATAGAACAAATCTCAATTTATTTATTTATTTTTGTCAGTCGCGGGGCCTGAACTCTGGGCCTGGGCGCTGTCCCTCAGCTCTTCAGCTCAAGGCTAGCGCTCTAGCACTTGAGCCAAGCACCACTTCCGGCTTTTTCTGCTTATGTGGCGCTGAGGAATCAAACCCAGTGCCTCATGCATGCAAGGCAAGCACTCTACCACTGAGCCACCTTCCCAGCCCACAAATCTCAATTTTTATCTGAACAGACAAGCTTTGGAGTTCTGCAGTGGCATTAGCCAAATTCATCATCATTCATTACTGAGAACATGTAAGAAAGTATAAACAAACCACTTTTCAATTCTTCCTGTGCATCTCTGTGCATTCTCACTGTGCACGCTCAGCTCATGAATAACGCTGCAGGACACAGCACAGCCACCTTGAGTTTCTTGGTATTACTGGGTTTAAGACAGGGCCTTGCTATGTTTTTGAAATTGGCCTGGAATGTAACCAAGGCTGGCCTTCAATATCTGAGCCTTCTGTCTCAGCTTCCTGAATTCTGGGATGACAAATATGTACCACCACCAGCACCTACTCCAATGCACACATCAATATCTTTTCAGGGACAGAATTCCAGATTCAGAGGACAAAGACTCCTCCATAGTTCAATGTTGCCAGACCTAACACAGGCTCCCTGCTACTCTGCTATATTGGGGACTCAGTCCATGCACTTAGAATTAATTCATAAGCATGACTGGTCTCAACCATTATATTTTTAAAATTTATTTAACTTAATTTTACTTTATTTCTTGTGCCAATACTGGGATTTTAACTCAGAGCCTGGGCACTGTCTCTTAGCCTTTTTGCTTAAGGCTAGTGCTCTACCACTTGAGCCAATAGTTCCACTTCTGGCTTTTTAGGGTTAATTGGGAGATAAAAGTCCCCTGGACTTTCCTGCCCAGTTGGATTTAAACTGGGATCCTTAGATCTCAGACTCCTGGTAGCTAGGATTACAGGTGTCAGCTACTCATGTCTGGCCTTCATTACATGATTTTTTTTTTTTGGCAAGTACTGGGGCTTCAACTCATGGCCTGGGTGCTGTCCCCGAGCTTCTTTCGCTCAAGGCTAGTCTACCACTTGGAGCAACAGTGCCATTTCCAGCTCACTGGCAGTTAATTGGAAATAAGAGTCTCATAGACTTTTCTGCCCAGGTTAGCTTCAAACTTCTATGCTCAGATCAGCTTCCTGAGTAGCTAGGATTACAGGCATGAGCCAGTGGCCCCTAGCTTTACAAGATACTTTAAAGGGAATCTTATAGGTCTTTCTTGTTTTGGGAATTCATCTGAGCAGGAGTGAGGTGAAGGGAGAGGGGTGAAAATGGTAGGCTTAGTCCAGCTCATAGAGAAATGGCTAAGGTATCATCAACTTTCTGAAACACCAAGGAAAAGATAATAGACACAAAGTTCGTCAACAGCTAGAACCTCTCCGGAGAACATCTGCAAAAATAAGAAAGTCCAGTTCTATTTACTCAATCATGTGGACACCTTCAGCAGTTAATGAATCTGCTAAGATACAGCCAAGATTTCGTGACCCATGCAAACCTCTTCTCCTAGTTACATAGTACAGATATAAAAACACACTAAATAAAATTCTAAACCTGACATGACTTCTTCCAAATACAGCTGTCTTCAGTTGCTTTATTATTGCCTCTCTGCAACCTAATGGTGACGATAGGTGACAAATGACGTCAGGAGCGCCAGAAGGAGGAAGTCAGAAAGCCCTTGGGGACAGGAATCTCCTTGCGCTGCAAACATTTCTGGTCAGGGAGAGATGAAAAATGAGTTTCTAACAGAATTGTTTCTAACACATTATCAGGTAGAAAAAAAGAAAGAACAGCAAATTCAAGTCCTGGGGAACAGCAAAATAAAAAAAGGAAAAAGCCCATAGATATATCTGCTGGATCGATGTAAGATTAGAATAAATGAGCTGCTGTTATGATGTCTATCCCACAGCTTATCCTTACCTGTCACAGGTACCATATTCCCAATTGGGCTTTTTTTCTTTCTCTTATGCCAAGTCCTAGGGTTTAAACTGAGGGTCTGGGTGCTATCCCTGAGCTTTTTTTGCTCAAAGATAGTGCTCTACCACTTGAGCCACACCTCCATTTCTGGCTTTTTGGTGATTAGCAAGAGATAAGAATCTCAGACTTTCTCTCACGTGTTTGCTTTGTATTGTGGTCCTTACATCTCAGCCTCCAAGTAGCTAGAATTACAGGCATGAGCCACTGCCCCCTAACTGGGCTCTTAGAAGCTGAAAATGGGCTGGGAAGGTGGCTCAGTAGTAGAGTGCTTACCTTGCATGCATGAATCCCTGGGTTCGATTTCTTAGCATCACATAAGCAGAAAAAGCTGGAAGTGGCACTGTGGCTCAAGTAGTAGAGTGCTAGCCTTGAGCTGAAGAGCTAAGGGACAGCGCCCAGGCCCAGAGTTCAAGCCCCACGACCAGTAAAACAACAACAACAACAAAACAGAAGCTGAAAAGTGAGTGGGCTAAATGGTAGATCTATGACAAAGTTCTAGAGTTTGTTAAAATTAACCTCTTCCAGTTGCTTAGTATTATGAAAGAGAGAGTCCAACTGTAAGTGCAGTCTGTTCTCATGAAGAAAAGTAGCCACACTTACTAGAGGATTGGTCTTCAGATTTGGAACAAAAGGATTGTATCTAAACCAAGATTTAAATTAAAAAAAAAAAAAAGTAAGTGGGGTACTGGTGGCTCACGCCTGTAATCCTAGCCACTCAGGAAGCTGAGATCTGAGGATCACAATTCAAAGCCATTCCCTGCAGGAAAGTCTGAGAGACTCTAACCTCCAATTAACTACTAGAAAGCTGGAAGTGGTGCTGTGGCTCAAAGTGGTAGAGTGCAAGCCTTGAGCAAAAGAGCTCAGGAACAGTGCTCTGGCACTGAATTTAAGCCCCAACAAAAACTAGTGTTGGTGAGAAATTCAGTAGACACATTTTTTCTGGTTTCATAGTTTTATTGATTCTCTCAGTTTCAATAATACAGGAGAGTATATTCTATGATCACCATTATGAAACTGTCATTTCTATAAACAGCAGTCACAAAGTTGGCCACCAGGCTTTAGACCCACACACTTTTTCATCTTTTCAGACAGCTGCTTCACGGGCAGTATAGAGAATGATATGCAGGAAGATGAAATGGAAACCCTAAGTCTAAAGGGCAAGGAGGGGCTGGGAAGGTGGCTCAGTAGTAGAGTACTTGCTTTGCATGCATGAGGCCTGGGTAACCCCCCCCAAAAAAAGGCAGTGGGGGGCAGAGGTTGGGGAGCAGCGGCAAGGAGGAATTCCAGGAAAAAGCAAGGCTTCATAAAATAAAAAAGGGCTGGGAAGGTGGCTCAGTGGTAGAGCGCTTGCCTTGCATGCATGAGGCCCTGGGTTCGATTCCTCAACACCACACAAGCAAAAAGAAAAAAGCCAGAAGTGGCGCTGTGGCTCAAGTGGTAGAGTGCTAGCCTTGAGCTGAAGAGCTGAGGGACAGCATCCAGGCCCAGAGTTCAGGCCCACGACCGCACCCCCCACCCCCAAAAAAAAGATTCTTTCCACATACGTGTCAGCTTCAGTTTCAGGGATTCTATAGGCTATCACTTACCATTACTAACATTTTTTTTTTTTTGGTCGGTCGTGGGATTTGAACTCTAGGCCTGGGCACTGTCCCTGAGCTCTTCAGCTCAAGGTAAGCGCTCAACCACTTGAGCTACAGAGCCACTTCCAGTTTTCTGGTGGTTTATTGGAGATAAGAGTTTCACGGACTTTCCTGCTCGGGCTGGCTTTGAACCTCGATCCTCAGATCTCAGCCTCCTGAGTAGCTAGGATTACAGGCGTGAGCCACCAGCGCCCGGCTCTCTTCCACTTCTTGAACCATGCCTTCAGTTCCTGAGTAACAATTTGTGACACTGGCCTAATATTTTTCAACACCAAGTTCCATTACCATATTGTTTTCTCACTCATGTGACTCAGTACCCCGAGGCTACCTCAGCCACTGGCCTGCGCTTCACTGAATGACGTACCTCCAGGAAGTCAAAAAGAAGGGTGGCTGTCACATCTGCCAGGGGCTCCATGTTTAAGATCTGAGCCAGCCAGCGCCAGCCATGATTCAAGCCGTGAGGGTGAGTCTGGGAAGAGAGAAGCTTGGTTACGGATTGATCTCATTTCATTCAGAGACTTAAACTCCCAGTTATCATTTACAGCCACCATGCAGACACACACCCTAAGTGGACATCATTTAGCCCAAGCACATGCCACAAGGAAGAAAGAAGACAAGCTAACCAAATTCTGCTTTTAAATATTGCAATCCAAGCATAGGCTCCCAAATCATTTACAAGATTCTTTCCACGGGGCTGGGAAGGTAGCTCAATAGTAAAGCCCTTGCCTTGCATACTTGAGGCCCTGGGTTGGATTCATCAGCACCACATAAGCAGAAAAAAAAAAAGGCTGGAAATGGGCTGGGAAGGTGGCTCAGTGGTAGAGCACTTGCGTTGCACTCATGAGGCTCTGGGTTTGATTCCTCAGCACCACATAAGCAAAAAGAAAAAAGCCGGAAGTGGCGCTGTGGCTCAAGTGGTAGAGTGCTCACCTTGGGACAGCGCCCAGGCCCAGAGTTCAAGCCCCACGACCGACAAAAAAAAAAAAAAAATCTCAAGGTGACTTTTCAGCCTCCTGAGTCACTAGGATTACTAGGATTACAGGTATGAGCCATAGGTGTGAGCCACTGGGTACCTGGCCCCTTCCCTGTTTTTGACTGGATATAAACTGTGCCTGGCTTCTTTGAGATTCTTTTTTTTTTTTTGGTCAGTTGTGGGCCTGAACTCTGGGCCTGGGCACTGTCCCTCAGCTCTTCAGAAGGCTCGAGGTTAGCCCTCTACCACTTGAGCCACAGCGCCACTTCCAGCTTTTTCTGCTTATGTGGTGCTGAAGAATTGAACTCAGGGCCTCATGCATGCAAGGCAAGCACTCTACCACTGAGCCACTTCCCAGTCCTCTTTGAGATCTTTTTTGTTTTTGTTTTGTTTTTTGGGTCCAATTGTGGGGCCTGAACTCTGGGCTTGGGCGCTATCCCTCAGCTCTTCAGCTCAAGGCTAGTGCTCTACCACTTGAGCCATAGCGCCACTTCCGGCTTTTTTCTTTTTGCTTGTATGGTGCTGGGGAATCGAACCCAGGGCCTCAAGCATGCAAGGCAAGCGCTCTACCACTGAGCCACCTTCCCAGCCCCCTCTTTGAGATTCTTATCTCTAATAAATGACCAGACCAGACCAATCCAAACAAAAAGTTGGAAGTAGAGCTGTGGTTCAAATGGGAGAGTGCTAGACTTGAGCAAAAAAGTCTCTGATAGTGCACAAACCCTGAGTTCAAACCTCAGGACTGGACCAAAAAACAAAAACAAAAAACCAAAGAGAAGAAGTAAGGAATTGGTGGATCATGCTTGTAATCCTAGTTATTCAAGAAGCTGAGACCTAAAGATTCTGGTTCAAAGCCAGCCTAGGGAAGAAAGTCCATGAGACTCTCATCTCCAAATAACCGGCAAACAAGCTAAAGTGGAAGTGTGGCTCAAGTGGAATAGCACCAACCCTGTGCAAAAAGTTCAAAGGAAAGCATGAGGCCCTAAATTCAAAGCTGGGGTCCCAAACTCTCTCTCTCTCTCTTTCTCTCTCAGAGATCACTGATTCTCTCCAGACTTATAAAAACACAAGTTATTCCAGGACAATAGTTTGGGACTTACGAAGATAAGGACATCTTACCTCCAAGAACTGCTTCAGACGTATAAAAGAACCCATTTGTCCTGAACTTGTGATAGCTTCAATTCTATAAGGAGAGAAAGAAGACACATGAATCTCACTTGTGACACAAATCTATCTTTTGGAGAGGTGTTGATCTCACAGTCATGTCTTCTAGTCTAAGGGTGCTAGTGCTTATTCAAACAGCGACAAAGGAGAGGAGAGCATTACTACTTTCTGAAGTCTTTCTGAGCAGGTGGGATGGGTTTTATGAAGACTGTCCCCTACTTGAAATGCCTATGAGTTGAGAACAAAGAGAAGGCGACTTCAAGGTGGTTCTACACCAGAGTCAAACTGGTGGATAAATAAGTTTGTCCATCTCATTTTATGAGTCTTGATTCTTTGGTTTAATTCATGAGTACAGGTAATCACCATCCAAGATTACTTGGGGGTTTGGAAAAGAATAGTTAAAAAACTCAAAAAACTGGCTGGGCACCAGGGGCTCAAGCCTGTAATCCTAGCTACTCAGGAGATTGAGATCTGAGGATCACAGTTCAAAGGCAGCCTGAGCAAGCAAGTCTGTTTAGACTCTTTTTTTTTTTTTTTTTCCATCAGTTGTGGGGCTTGAACTTTAGGCCTGGGTGCTTCCCTCAGTTCTTCAGCTCAAGGCTAGCACTCTACAACTTGAGCCACAGTGCCACTTCCAGTTTTCTGGTCGTTAATGGGAGATAAGAGTATGTATCATGGACTTTCCTGCCAAGGCTGGCTTTGAACCCCAATCCTCAGATCTCAGCCTCCTGAGTAACCAGGATTATAGGAGTGAGCCACCAGTGCCCAGCTGGCTCCATGAGACTCATCTCCAATTAACCATCAGAAAACTGGAAGTGGCACTATAGCTCAAGTGGTAGAGTGCTAGCCTTGAGCTGAAGAGCTCAGGGACAGTGCCCAGGCCCAGAGTTAAGTCCTACAACTGACAAAACCAAACAAACAAACAAAAAACCTGCCAGATTTTGTTTTGTTGCTAGGCACAAACACCTAGTATCAGAAGCTAAGTAAGTGTTCTAACAACCCCAGCCCAATGCCATCTTAATCCAGTATCTTCCTGATTTATGTTTTTATATAGTCAACAATATTTAAAAGATTCTCATTAGTTCAAAAGTATTTACTCAAAATTCACAGATAAGCATAAGAGTTGGAAGAGGTCATCCTTTACATAGGCTTTATTTTTTTTCTTTTCTTTTGCAGTGCTGGGGATGGACCTGGCTTTATACATGCTAGGCAACATTATGGCTGAGCTAGGCCTCTAGCCCACATAGACATTTTCAATCTGAGCTAGAAACAGCATGCAATAGCAGTTGAGAGTGCCTCATATCTGCTTCCTAATTTTACCTACTAAATCCCTGAGATCTGCTCAATAAGCCTGATACCTGGGGAAGTAGTCCTCCTTAATGAGAAGTATCATCTTCCAGAACTGGACCTGGTATTGCTTCATGAGGGCATTCCCACACACCTGGGGAAAAGACAGCAGGGAGAATGGAAATCCACTGACAGGTTTACAAAGCATAAACAGCCTTCAGCTTTTACATCTATCAAAACATTTCAGGGTAAGGGCTGGGAGTTGGCTCAGTGGTAAAGTGCTTGCCTTGCATGCATGAGGTTCTGGGTTCGATTCCTCAGCATCACATAAGCAGAAAAAGTCAGAAGTGGTACTGTGCTCAAGGGGTACAGTGCTAGCCTTGAGCTGAAGAGCTGAGGGATAGCGCCTAGGCCCAGAGTTCAAGCCCCATGATGGACCAAAAAAACAGCCAGAAGTGATTCAAGTGTTGAGTACAAGAGGCTCAGGGACAGTGCCCAGGTTCTAAGTTCAAGTCCCACTACTGACAAAAACAAAAGAAGAAGAAGAAAAAAAAGCAGCTCAGGGACAATGACCAGGCCCTGAGTCCAACATCCTGGCATAAAAATAAAAATAAGCCAGGCACTGGTGGCTCATATCTGTATTCATAGCTACTTAGGAGGCTGACATCTAAGGATCACGGTTCAAAGTCAGCCCAAGCAGGAAAGTCCATGAGACTCTTATCTCCAGTTAACCATCAGAAAATTGGAAGTGGCACTGTGGCAAGTGGTAGAGTGCTCACCTTGAGCTGAAGAGCTGGGGATAGCACCCAGGCCAATTTCAGGCCCCACAACTGATCAAAAAACAACAAGAAAATAAGAAAAGAAAAGTAAGGCTGGGCAGTGGTGGCTCAAGCCTGTAATCATAGCTACTCAGGAGGCTGGGATCTGAGGATCACGGTTCAAAGCCAGCCCATGCAAAAAAGTCCATGAGACTCTTATTTCCAATTAACCACCAGAAAATTGAAAGTGGCATTGTGGCTCAAGTGGTAGAGTGCTATCCTTGAGCTGAAGAGCTTAGGGACAGCACCCAGGCCCAGAGTTCAAGACCCATGATTTGGGTCTTGAAGAAAAAAAGAAAGAAAATTCAATGTTTTTCTAAAGCATGTCTTGATATAAGACAATAGCTCAATGAGGCTTTAGTGAACAATTCTTTTTACTCTACTGAATCTTTTTTGAAGGTACAGTATCCCTCTCAACCTTAGAAATATAGAATACCACTTGTGTGTTTTTATTTCTCTCCTACTGTTCCCTCATTTACAACTTGTGTTTTTTGTTTTTTGGGTTTTTTTTGCTGATCATGGGGCCTGAACTCTGGGCCGGGGCGCTGTCCCTCAGTTATTCAGCTCAAGGATAACGCTTGACCACTGGAGCCACAGCGCCACTTCCGGCTTTTTCTGCTTATGTGGTGCTGAGGAATCGAACCCAGGGCTTCATGCGTGCAAGGCAAACACTCTACCACTGAGCCACCTTCCTAAACCCTACAACTTGTGTTTTTATAGGCACAGGTTTACTGTTCATATATCATAACTTTAGGAACTATCAGGTGACTATGGACTATGGGTATTATAGGTACAATCTCTCAGCTTTGCCATGGCACATACCTGAGCCTTTAGTTTTACTTTTCTTTTGCTTCAGACAGGGTCTCAATCTGTAGGCTCAGGTTGGCCTGCAACTTGTGATCCTTCTTCCTAAGCCTCCCATGTGCTGGAATTGCAGTTGTGTATCAAGTTACTCAATTCCCTTAGCCTCCTTCCTGCCCCCTATGGTACTGGGCTTTTAGGCTTCCCATCATTACTAGGATTATAGATCTTGTGGCACTTACCCAGCTTCCCTCCATAGAGATAGAGCCTTGTTGACCTTTCTGGCCTGGCACCTTGATCCTCCCAATCTCAGCTATGATGACAGGTATGTGCCTAGTTATGAATTGAGCAGCGTCTTAATCCCTTTCCTGCCCCTTCAGCTATCCCTGAGCCTTCTTTAACCTCACCCTGTGATGGTGGGCCTTCAGGAGCAGAACTATATGGAGCCTTCTAGATGGGGAGATACTTGACCTTTGTTGGGGTATACTTTCTCTCTAGGAAGTAGGAATCACAACAGTGAAATACCTGTCTCACCATACCAGGTCACCTGACGGAGACTGTGTGACACAGCTAAGGATGGCCACCCTGCTCAGTGTGCACAGAAAAACTGGCCTACAGAGTAAGAACAAAGGAACCAGTAGGGGGGCTGGGAAGGTGGCTCAGTGGTAGAGCACATGCCTTGCATGCCTGAGGCCCTGGGTTTGATTCCTCAGCACCACATAAGAAAAAAGAAAAAAGCTGGAAGTGGTGCTGTGGCTCAAGTGGTAGAGCACTAGCCTTGAGCTGAGGAGCTGAGGGACAGTACCCAGGACCAGAGTTCAGGCCCCACGACCGGACCCCCCCCCCCCAAAAAAAAGGAACCAGTAGGGAGGGTAGTCCCCTGGCATGTGTTTCCAGACCAACTGTCTTGTTGCTTGGTGATAGTCCCATTCTTCATTCCAGGGCTTCACCACACATCCTATCTTTGATTGTAGGTATCACTAAAAAATATTTCCTCTCTTTTTTTTTTTTTTTGTCAATTATAGGGCTTGGGCCTGGCCGGTCATTGGGTTAGGGCCTGGACACTGTCCTGGAGTTTTTTCTCAAAGATAGCACTCGACCACTTTGAGTCACAGCTGCACTTCCAGTTCTCTGGTAGTTAATTGGAGGTACAAGTTTCTCAGACTTTCCTGCCTCAGCTGGCTTTGAACCACGATCCTCAGATCTCAGCCTCTTGAGTAGCTAGGATTACACGTATGAGCCACCTGACTGCTGCTGCTGCTTTTTTTTTTGGTACCAGTACTGAGGCTGGAACTCAAAGTTTGGGCACTGTCCCTGAGCTAACATTGTATCATTTGAGCTTTAGCTAGCTACACTTTTGGCTTTTTGGTGATAAATTAGAGGTCTCACAAACATTCCTGGTTGGTCTGGCTTTAAACCTCAATTCTCAGAGCTTAGTCTCCTGAGGAGCTAGGATTATTAGGTGTGAGCCACTGGCCCCAGTCTAATTTTTCTTTACAATCACGTTAAGACATATACCACTATCCCCATACATACTTTTTTTTTATGTGTACGCCAGTCCTGGGGCTTGAACTCAGGGCCTGGGTGCTGTCTCTGAGCTTTTGTACTCAAGGCTAACACTCTAACACAGCTCCACTTCTAGCTTTTTTGGTGCTTAGTTGGTGAAAAGAATCTCACAGATTTTCCTGTCTAGGGTGGCTTTAAACAGTGTTTCTCAGATTTCAACCTGAGTAACTAGGATTACAGGTATGAGCCACCAGCCTCACCCTTTTTTTTTTTTT